TCAGCTGATAAGCACAAAGCGGCAGCAACAAACCATGAGTAACAGGCAGTTGTAGTAATTGCACTCCGGTGATAACTAGCAGGTGACACGCCATCATGACAACGAGTGATGCCAGGCAAAGTTTGAAGCCAGTACTCAGTGCCCGCTGTCTGTACCGGTCAGCTAACAACACACACAGCAGGAACTGAGAACATATTGCAAGCAACATTGAAACTTCGCAAGGACTCCTGGGGTTCGAAATGAGCCAGGACAGTCGTACGGGTGAGTACGATCAACACAGATCAGCGACTATCGACAACGGTACTGATCGATCATCAGTAGTAGTGCAGGCATGATGGCACTCAGACATGAAGTTGCTGACTCCTGACAAGGCTTTGCGAATGAGAAATATCGGACGTGATAATTGCCCAAAAAATATCTAATAGCAAACGAAAAACATTCGACAACTTGATGGGGACACAAGCCATGTACGAGACAGGTAATGCCAAAACCGACCTTTAGAACGACTTTCCAAGCATGGACAGAACTGAAAGCGGACCCGGCAGAACAAAGCAGAGTCAGCTGCAGTGTAGAACCCACCACAACAGACCGAAAGGCCATGAAAGGACCCACGAGTTCTTCATGTCGAGGGCCCCCTCGCGACTGCAAGGATAGACACCCCTTCCCCCATCGCATCCCGAATCGTCCAGAAGCTATCTCTTTCAAGACCTTCACTTGGGCCGCGCCTGGCAACGAAGGGGTCGGCGACACCAGGACAGAAACATGGCGACCTTCCTTGCGAGATCCAATCAGCGAGATCCGTTCGGTGTGAGGGGAATGCTCGAAGGGTGTTGCGCTTCAGGAAACCCACTCTTTAAGTGCTTGGAGCCTGGGATTTGGTTTGGAGACTTTAAGACCTTTAAGCTGGCCCATGGCATCCCATAATACCGCGCCAGCCTCCTGCTGCTCTTCTTGGGGATCGACCGACGCCTCCAACGACAGGGCTGGAGCAGGAAAAGAAGTGCTCGCTTACGCTCACAGAAAGGGAAGGCTGTTGGCCCTTAAACCTCACAAGGACCTTGTCAGAAAGCACGTGCCTCTTCATGACTAAGAGATACTAAACAAGCTATCCGGATTGCCGGCTGCCTGGTCTTCTCCGGCTTTCTGGGGATCCTTCATCCACTTCTGACGAATGCCTCCACAGTTCACACGGATCGGATCAGCATCGAAAGTTCGCGAGAAGCATGGCCGCAAATCGTCGTACAAAGCATACATGGCGCAACGGTGTTCCCCCAATGAGCCAACTGCACTTGCTCCACTGCAGACAGCTGAATGACACATGCCAACAGATTATTCTCAAGCAGTCCTAATGGCTCTCGGTGCGTTGGATCTCAAACTGTGGCCGCTCATGGCTGAATCCACGGAGCTACATCTTCAATGACTGAAACCAGGTGCCAGACGACAAAACACCACAGTTGCCGCTGATAACACTGAACAATATCCTGCTAGCGCTGGTGTCCAAGAGCAGATCGCAGCCCAAGCACGTTCTTTCAGCGTCGGATCGTGCCAAAGAGCCACCGTGATGAGCACGCCTCCCAAGAAACACTGGCCCGAATGAGGCTGACTAACATCCCATCCCCATTCGAGGAAAAGCTCAGAAAGAACCTGCTCTTGACTTCATCCACCCATTCTCCCTTGAGTTTGGGATTTCGCGAAGAATCAAGCCCTGCCTTGCATGACTGCCGATGCTGCCGGGACGAGCAGCAGGGACTGCGAGGACTGACTGAATCGATGTGTCTAGACTAGGGTCCTTTTTGTCCCAAAGATAGCATGGCACGCAACGGACCCATGTAGCTTGCCGTTCAGCAGCAGTTGTCCATGCCAGTCTAGAAACTTAGGACGCTGTCTGCGGTGCACGTACCCAGAAGCAGCACGTAAGGACTGTTGGGGAAGGGGTCAGCCCCGGGCTGCTGAAGGCTCGGGTTAAGGTTGCTTGGGCCAGTTCTTGCACAAGAGCCACAGTCCTTGAGAAGGCTCGTGGAGGTGGCTCCGAGCCAAGCTTGGCTGTCTTCGTAGGTGACGCTGGCAAGGAACACTAGCACATAGGAGACGCACACGGCCGCGTAGCAGGCTGCAGCCACCTCACTCACTCGCCGGGGCCACCGAGGTGTCAGCTAACAGTTCAAGCCGAAGCCCGGATTTGCATCGGCATGTTGTTCTAAATTCAGCATCAACGCCGCGGCATTCGGGCATCCCTTGCGCTCGCACTTGCGCGGTCTTGCACGCACGAGGGTTTACACGCGTGTCAACATAACGCTTTCAAGTGACATGCACCTCGACTCGGTCAGCGCTTGGGGTTTAACATCTGGTAAACTCCAATACAAAGCTACACATGGATCCACCTATGCATACAAAGCTATATTACACATGTATTCTGTTCTGTTGGCGCCAAGGCACCCAAAAAACACACCTTCTACACCGCCACTTGCTCACCTGCTGGTCCCACTTCTCCTCTTGCACACACCAGGAGACATCAGTTCAAGCTTCTTCACGCCTCTGACCTTCGCTTCGCTCTCGCTGCCCCAGGAACCCTCTTCACTACAAGCCTAGGTCAGCTGACAGGGTTCCAATCTCCTGATTCATCTTCTTGAGCGACGGCTTCTGGATCAGCAGCAGGCAGAGGATGATCACATCGCTCAGCACAGCTGAGAGGAGGCCAATCCAAAAACCTCGAACGAGCTGTTGTTCGAAAGTCAGCATCTCGGTGTCGCATCCTGCGGCAGGGCCACCGTAGCGGCCAGAGAAGACACCTTCCGCCGAGGTCCGAACAGTGGGCCGAGTGCCTTCGACGTCCTCCCTTTTTGCGCTGCTTGTCAAGAAGATCGCATTGATGAAACCTTATAACGGCGGAATCGCTTCACACAGCTGACGTGCTCTTCTACGCGCAGCAACCTTTCGAACCACGGCACAAGCACTCAGGATCTTCAGGATGATGGCGCAGATCTGGATGCTGACTGGGGTTATGGAAAAGCATCCTTGCAAGGCACAGTCATGAGTCGGAGAATCGTGCGTCAAATCAACGGCAACCCTTGCCGCCAGGATTCGTAGAATCGCGGAGTAGGCATGGACAGCTGGCAGCCTAGGGCACAACTGCAAATAGAACATCGCGCAGGCTAGAGGCCTTTCCCATTTCTGGCCATGGAGCAACTCCAGAGTTAGGGCACGCATGTTTCCACGTAGCACTGTGTTGACGGCAGAATTCCCGGCACCTGGCCAGGCGAAGCTGATCAGAGGTTCATGCTTGAGAGCTTCCGAAGCCGAGGATTACCGTATGAGCCCAGCGGCGATGAAGGTCCAGAAGTTGCGCGATTTGCGAGTGCGCCTTCTTGCTGCTGGCCGGATGCACCCGCGAAGCCCCGTGGGCCATCTCCCCAACTCGAGCCGCTAGGTTCCTCGCCCTGCACACATCTGCACACCAGCGACCACTTGCAGTTGAAGCGCCATCGCGCCTGCTCTCCACCTGCTTCATCCAGGCAGGCTGGCAGGAGAAGCAACCTCGAGACCTGGAGCGGCGGACACTGCAATCGTCGCGTCGAAGCGCATCCGCCAAGACCCCGCCTGGGCGTTGGCTGCTCTGGCTGCTCCTGACGAGCATGAGACCACGGGTGTTGGGCACCGCTTTGACATCCACAGGTCTCTGCCAAAGCGGGCCTCTTCTTCCTGGCGCAGCTCTTGGATGCTGTGTTGCCTGTCGGGAATGAGGGCGTTGATGCTGATCATGTCCAAGCCCATCCTGGCGCACGTCTCTTTGGCTTGAGACCTCCAGGACTGCCCTAAAAGATTGCATGTCCTGTACGCGATGATCTGGCTGATGCTGTCGTCAATGAGACTCTGGATGCGCTTCTTGGCGAACTGCTTTGGGCGCCGCAGCCCGGCCAGAAACACCAGCTGTCCTGCAGAACGGCCGTCACGTGCCAGTGTGGCAGAGCATGCCAGAGCTGCGGGGCAGGCTTCGGAAAGTCCTGCCACCTGGCTGCACAAGCTGCGGAGCATGTTGCAGCGACACAGTCCGGTCTCTTTCTGGTCGTCGTCCTGGCTGGGGTTCAGGCTTTCGGTTTGCAGGTCTGAGGCATGAAGACTTGAGTTGGAATCCCTCATGCTGCCCAAGTCCACATGATTCCCCAAGAGTCGACTCAACACACAAAGCCCCATAGTCCTCCCGCAGCAGCGTGACTTGGCGGTCAATTGAAGGAATTGCTCTTTCGGCCTGGCTGCTCTCGCTTCTCCCATGTCTCTGATGCAGACTTGTCTACATATTATACCAACCCTACAACGCCCGCTTTCACACTCGCAAAGTCACCATGCACAAAACGGCACCACCGACTCGCCCGACGCGGGATGAAGAGTCGCTAATCGCTGTGACATGCTGTGACCCCGTAGCAGCTGGCACCTGACGATCCATGTGATACCCGTAGCTGAGGAGCAAAGCGAATCTCGGTTCGGCACGCACATTGTTGAGGGAGGTGCTGGAAGGCTTCGGGCTGCGTCGGCTTCGGGAAGCGGGAAGCATGAAGTTTACAGGCATCGAGGGATCCTCGGAATTCATGCAGCTCAGACTTGGAATTATGAGCTGGCCTTGCGGGAGGATGTTACAAGCCCAGCAGCAGGAGCAGGAAGCACAGGTAGATCACTGTCGGTGTTCGCAGAAGCCATCCAGGTCTGGAAGGGCGAAACTCTTACAAGTCTGTTGTTATTGTTGTTGTTGTCTGTGGTGCGTTCCGATTTGCGAGCGACTCTGAGTTCGACTCCCCCACTCCTTGCCAACTTTGCAATCCCCTCCGCGGTGAGCACTTCAAAGAGGCTGCTGCACTTCAGCACGTTTTCCAGTTCCTGCCCGGGCACCAGATCCGTTCTGGGGTTCGGGGGCAGCTTCACTTCAGCAGGCCTCGAAGACGTCCACACCCCCGAAGATACCCAGCCGATGGGTTTGGCAACGGAGCACGCCTGCCCTGAGTTCCAGCCGGACCAGGCCATCCGTCTCCCAGGCCGCTTCGGTCTCGTTCCAATAGGCGCACTTAACAGTGTCATTGTCGTGCAACACCTGGAACCGCAACGGCGGCAACGGCGAGGCGACTACCCTCGAAGGTACACGTGGTCCAGGCCTCTAGCTGAACCACCATGGGGCTCTGCAGCTTCCCTGGCACACTATTGCGCTCTCGCGCGAAGCATGTTGGTGGCCCATTGCCCCGTGACTCTGAGGTTTTCTGCTGAGCGCTCACTGCCCCGCCTAGATCCACAATGCCTCCGTTCTTGTTGCGCACTTCGACCACGACCGGGCTCGACCGCAGAATGGGGGCCTTTGGCCCTCGCAATGCGTCAGGGTGGTGCATGCGAGCTCGCGCAGCGGCGAACATGCTGGCGGACTGTCCTTCGCCTGGCCCTCTGTCAGCAGGTGGATTGCTAAACTTCTTGGCGAGATCCTGTTGGCGGACACACCAGACGGACAACAAGAGCTCTCTGGCTTGGGGTCCCTGGTCCACTTCAAACCCTTGGTCGCAAAAGCCCAAAGATCCCGGACAACCCAGGGTGCAACTTCCCCAAGACAGTCCTCGCTCAAGGACACCACACCCAGCAGCACCGGGCCGTCGCCCACAAGCGCCTGTGCTTGCGCCAGTACATCGACGGGGACCTGGCAGAAGGTCTTATGCACACAAAAGGGGCGCCAGCTAGGCCGCTAGGGGTGAGGGGTGAAGCATGCGCCTCAGCGCCGATGGAAGAGTTCTCCATGCTGACGGTAGCATTCTGTCCCGATGACGTCAAAGCTTCCACATCGTACGCAACCACCTTTGAAGAACAGGGATATAGGCCATATTTGGGTGTGCACTGCGCCGGTTGAAGCTTCTCAGGCTTCCTTCAGGGGATCTCCCAAACGACGGGGTGCACCTTCACCGCTCCAGCTTCCGTGGTGTCGACGACCTCGCCCATCACGCCGTTGTCGCCTGTGTTGTTCAGGCTGTTCAGCAAGTCCTGCACTGCAACCTCAGCCGCACAGCGGAGTTCTGAGCAGCCTTGATTGTCTACAGTTTTGCCTCAGTCCAACTGTTGAAGCCTAAGCTCAGTAAGCTCGAGCAAAGAGAGAAGGTAGGGCCTAAGCTCAGTCAGCTTGAGCAAAGAGAGAAGGTCACCCGGTCCTGCAACATTTTCAACAGCCGTGATTCTTAAAGCAGCATCTCGTGTCCCAGCCCCGGAAAGCTGCCCTGGCAAACGCAGCATCCCAAAACCTTAGAAGCCCAAATAATTGCCAACACTATTCCGTAGGGTTCCTTACTGTAATACCATAATATACCCCCCAGACATCTCCAAACCCCATTCTGGTTTTATCGACGCCCCAAAAAACCACTCGCCCTGAAGCGGACCCCGGCCCCCCCCCCCGCCAGACGCTGCGACGCGGCCTCGGTGGCAGCCTCGGCCTCCTTCACTGCAGCCTCAGCCTCCTGGCAAACGGGGAGATCTCGCAACTTACTACATTCATTTTCGGCGGACGGGACAGCGGAGACCGAAGGACCGAAGACGGAGCTGGGTCTTTGAGTCAGGCTGCTTGTTAACAGCCACGCTGAGGGAACGCCCCCCGCATGGGAAATTCGGTGTTCAGCTACTACTACTACTACTACTACTACTACTACTACTACTACTACTACTACTACTACTACTACTACTACTACTACTACTATTAAGTAGTTATGCTCTCTTGCCAGCAATGGGCCCACTGTCCTCGGCTGAAGGGCTGAATCCTTGAGACCCCAAACAGAGTGAGCAGGGTGGTCCTGCTTGCGCATCGCCTCTCTGGCCTCGTCGGTGGCGGCAGTGGAGCTGGTGGCAGAACCTTGGAGAGCAGCCGCTCAGCACGCTCCGGCTCCCTTCCCCTGGTCCCCTGGAACTAAGCTCAGGCCCGAGCTTCTGCAGCTTCGCGTGCCAAGATTACAACATGCATTAATTTCCCAAAACGCATGACGTTGTCAGTCCACATGCATTATCGTCAGAAATGGCAGCATTCAATAGCAGCACACTCTCGCTTCAACATCCGAAACGGCCAAGCCACTCGTCGTTCCGGTTGATGAGACGCTTGTGGTTGAGGTGCTCGTCAGGGTGGTTGTCGAACTGCTGGTTCTGGAGGCGGAGCTGCTGGTCGTTGTTCGGCTTGTGCCCGTGCTGCTGGATGTGCTGGCGCTCGTGGTTGAGGTGCTCGTGGTGGTTGTCACGGTGCGCGTGGATGTGCTGCTTGAGCTGGTGCTGCTTGAGCTCGTGCTGCTAGAGCTGGTGCTGCTGGTGCTGCTACTGGTGCTGGTGGTGCTAATGGTGATGGTGGCGGAGCTGCTGCTACTGCTGCTGCTGCTGGTCATCGTCAGAGAGCTAGTAGTGCCGGTTGTGGTCGTGGTGGTGGGGAAAACTATGTCAACAGCTGGGAGGCTGTTTCCCATGTCGCTGCTCGATTTTCCCCTGTCTTGGGTGTCACCAAGGCCCAACATGCCTAAAGTGTTTCCTCCCCAGCATTTTGTTTCCTGGTTGTCCAGGAGTGCACACGTAACATAGCCACCTGCGGCCACGTGGACCGCAGTTCTGCCGGTTCCGAGATCTACGTTGCTGGGCAGGGTGCCTGCGTGGCCGAGTTCGCCATACTCGTTCTTGCCCCAGCATCTGATGGTGCCATCATCCAGGCGGGCGCAAGTATGATATTTTCCTGATGACAGTTCTGCCGCTGTCCTGCCCGTGCCGAGGTCGACTGGGGGCAAATAATTTCCCATCTCGTTCGCATCGTCTCCCATGTTAATCGAGGTGGCAAAGCCCAGGCCTAACTGGTTGTTGTTATTCCTCCCCCAGCACTTTACAGAGCCATTGTCGAGTCTCGCACATGCGTGAAATACTCCGGCGCTCAGCTCGACGGCGGTGCGGCCTGTTCCAAGGTCCACAGTTGGGAGATTGTCTCCCATCTCGCCGCTGACCCTCCCAACCGTATACGAATTGCTCCCGATCCCGAGCTGGCCATACTCACCGTGGCCCCAGCACTTGAGGGAGCTATCGTCAAGGCGTGCGCAGGCAAAGTATGAGCCGGCGGTCACATCAGCTGCCGTCCTACCGGTACCTAGGTCGACTGGTGGGAGGTGGTCTCCCATCTCACTGCTCCCGGCCCCCATGTTCGAGGTGGTTCCTATGCCCAGCTGACCATATCCACCTTGTCCCCAGCATTTTACCGAGGCGTTGTCCAAGACTGCACAGCTGAACTCGTAACCCAAGGCTAGCTGCACGGCGGTACGCCCTGTTCCGAGCTCCACGGTGGGGAGGAAGTCCCCCATTTCATCACTGTTACCTCCTCTTTGCACCTGGTCTCCATAGCCTAGCCGACCTAGATGGCCATAACCCCAGCATTTCAAGAGACCATCGTCCAGCCTGGCGCAATTATGGCTAGCCCCCGAGTTCACTTCGAGAGCATGTCGTCCTGTCCCCAAATCAATGGTCGGCAGAGACTTGCCCATCTCGTTCGCGCCATCACCTCTTCTGACGTCGTCCCCCTGCCCCAACTGAGCATTGCCGTTGTTCCCCCAGCATTTAACGGAGCCTTGTGAGCCCATCGCACAGACATGCCAGTCGCCAAGTGACAGCTTCGCAACTTCCTCGGCCACGGCTGTGAGGATGCAGACTGCGCTCAACAGCGCAAGCATTTTCACAGCAGCCATGGCGTCACTCGATAAAAACTCTGCCGAAGGCAAAAACTTTGAAGCCTCGAAACCCTCTCTGACTCACTCTGTCATCTGATGGTTTGGCGGATGGTCCGCAACCTGCTCGAACTGTTGACTAATCCGGTCCCATGATCCCAGAACAGGTATACAAGCTGCCCATCAGGCCTTCAAGCTCTTTGCCTTTGGCTCCTACGGCCCCAGGGCCCTACGGGTTCTCACGGTCTTGCCTCCGTAAGGAGCGCCGTTCGCATGAACTCCAACCACGGGTGCAGCGGAAGCGAGGGCAACAGCACAGCACATCAACAAACGCATGCCCGCGTTGCGCTACGTTGCGCTACCATGCCCTGACAGTCGCCAGCAGAGGGAACTTTGCAAAGCTCTGCAAAGCCAGCGCCCCCCTGGAGCGCCTGGCGCTCACAACCGGCGCAATGGCGGCATGCGTTTGTCCGGCTCGGAGTGCCAGAATCTTGCGATGAGACCTTGCAGTGGCACGGGTGGGCACTTGAGCGTGCGACTATCTGCAAGGAAACTTCATCCTTCAGCAGCATCGTGATCATCACCACTACGCAGGAACACCAACATCGCCATCACAACATGAAACAGCACAAAAAAAAACACACCTCAGTCAAGTCTCCCTGGTGCTCAAGGCTACACAGAGGGTAAGGCATGAGGCTGTTAATCAGGGGTTTACGGCCACTCAAACTCTATGACTCTGTGGCTTTTGGAATTAGCACTTCGGCTTTTGAGTTTGGGGTCTGGTGCCTTTGTCTTTCAGACTCGGAGCCTTGATCCAAGACCCCAAACGCTGAGGTGGCCCAAAGACCAGCGGGGCCCCGAGCCATCAAGAGCCACTCAGCTGTGGGCCTCTTTTTCGCCTCTGCGCTGGGATGGGTCTTCGGCACCACACTATCATCCTGCGAGCTAGTGGGGCAGCCGGGTTTAGGGAGGGCCTCAACTTCAAGGTTTAGGGTTTCAGGGTGGGGCCTTTAGGGTTAGTGACCGTGTAGGACTGCTTGCCAGTACGGGTGGCGAAGGGGCCTCTTCCACGAGCTCTAATTAGTCACATTGTCGGATTGTGCTTCCGGCTCTATTGGAAACACCTTCGCTAGCTCTGAACTCAAATTTCAAAGGTGGAGCAGTTCTTCGAAGCCGCGCAAGCTGCAGTCCATCACATCACGTGGCTTGTTTTCGTGATTGAAGCCGATTACAGGACGTTTGATGATGCTCAGTCTCACCAGCCTCACACGTGCGCAGCATGCCTGGGTCGTTCACGAACAGGTTGACAGCCTATGCAGATCAACGACACCTATTCACAAGCCGCTTAAATTTTGCATAGCCTGCTGCAACAGCTGGGACCCGGAACTACATTCAGGCTTTGGGAAAGCATTCTATGTGCCGTGACGCGAACCATGAACGAGCGACGGCAACTCTACTCTAATTTGCTTCAGAGCCCTTTAGAAACCTGCTCTTGCGGCCCGTTAGAAATAACAAGCCACTCCCATGCATAAAGGCTCTGAAGGCGCTTTCAGCTTCTATTCTAGCTCCGAGATATCCGAAAGCATGCATTCCCCACCGTGCAAGCCTGGACATCACGCATGGCCTTCTGCGTCCGCAAGGCTGAAACTGCCAGCAAGCCCCCTTGGGAGTGCTGTTGAATGATAGAGGTCGGGAAGAACCTTAAAACTCAAAGACATCAACAAGCAAAATACGCTCTGAAATCCCCAAACCCCAAAGGCTGCAACTGGGAACAGCACTGCTGAGTTCGCACAAGAATAAACCCCTTTCCGTACAGGCCCACGTTGACAAACCTCAGGCTTAACAAAAAAACATATGAGAGAACAGATAAAAACTCATGAGTAGAGCTCGGGGGCATACGGCACTTGCAATCGATTCCACTTTGATGCGACTGTCTGAAACGCGGTTCTCCAAACCACTACCCACTGTGGCCATCCATGGGGCCACAAGCTGCGAAAAAGAAGAGGAAGCACCCACCTCTCGGGCGGACGGAAGTTTAATGCAGGCACCCAAAACGTCCCTAGCATCAGTCCTTTACGTTCCCTTCAGACAGCAGCATCGTGTAAGCAAACACACCCACATGCATGCATCGGAATTCAAACCCTGGTGGTTAAATCCCTGCTTATGTAGCTTGTCCACACGGGTCCTCAACGCCCAAGCCTACAAACCCTAAGGGCTCCAGAAGTAATTCCACACCTGCAGGGCAGACTGCGGTCTGCTCCACCACGAAAGGAAGAAACCCCGGAGGGCCGAAAGTAAGAAAAGTGACAAGTACTGGAGATTAATCCTCTTCAAGGACACACTCGAGCCAAGTCCAGTCAGGACTCTGTGCAAACACAGGCGAGGCAGGAGCAGGGACTGCTCTCTTACAAGGCTTCTTAAGAAGAGCAACAGCTTTACGATCCCACCGACGGGCAGATCCAATGCCACATTCAGCACACTGCCAACGTGAGTAAGTACGACTGTAGACTAACTTGTGCGAGTCAGGGTGCGCGGCGCACCAAGCAGCAACAGCACTAGCGGTATGATCAGCATCTTTGCGAGAGGCATCAGGCGTGCCAGAGCAAACAGTGTTAGCGAAGTTCTTATGGCGCTCAGCCCAGCGCCAGGTTTTACAGCAAGCAGTGCAATAGAGAAGGCCTTCGGCCGGCTCGCCGAAACACTTACCAAGACGGCCATTCCATAGAAGAACGTGGCCGCCATGGTTCAAGGCAGCGACAGCGGCAGCGTTCTGACGGACGCGGTTCGCATTGTGGTGAAAGTTAGGCTCGGAAAGCCATTGACTCTCGGGCGTATTCCGAAGACGACAAGGAAGGCGTGTAATCTTCCAACGCTGCTTCCATTGCTTCTGAGTGCGACCGCACTTAACACAGAAGACTCCCTCGGAGCGAGGGCAAGCACGAAGTACATGGCCGTTGCAGTTCATTTGCCGAGGAGGCGCACGGTACCAAGCAGGGGGCGGTTGCTTGAAGGTAAGGCGATACCGAGTTAAGGCGGCACCTTCATGCCAACGACCGATGTAAGTTTTCCAAACACACACCAGACGACGTTGCATATCAGCAACGAGACAGGAGGATGCATGCCACCCGATAGGGACAAGAGCAGCATAAGTGAAACAAGGAGGTTCAGGCTGCGGCAAACGCCCACGGAGGACGTTAAGGTCAGCACGGGCCTCATCATACAATGGACAATCCCAGGAGAGGTGCGCAACTGTTTCGTAATCACGACCACAAGCACATCGGGTGCGGCCGCGGTTGCGATGACGAGAGTCGCGGTCACGAGTCTGAAGCCCACCGGAAAGCAGGCGACGAAGAACACCAAGTTTGGCACGAGGGTCCTCAAGAGGTGAACCGGGAGGCTGCACCTGATCGGAGTCAATGGAGCTTTGGAGAGCATCCGCTTCGCGCATGAGCGCACGCAGAAGATGAAGGGAGGCATTACGGTCAATGCCAACCTGGATTCCGGCAAAGTCAGCACGGTCGCGAGCGACCTCACGCCAACGAAGCAGACGCCAAGTTTCACGAAGATCATGTCGCCACTTCGGGCCAACAGAGGCAGGATCATCGAGGCAACCCCGCACTGCAGAGGAAAAGCAAGGAAAATCTTGCAGAATGCGCTTAAGCCGAGCGACAGGACCGTGTGTGACGGAGTCGCGCAACAGCAAGCCACGCACCAAGTCCCGAACTCTAGGGGCAGACACGATACGACCAAGGGTGCAAAGAGTTTGGTAAGGGAAAGCAAAGGCAGGATCAATGGCAGGAGAAGCAAGAACAGTAAGCACCACACCGACAGAGGCGAGCCAATGTTCCTTCTGCCAAAGGCAAGTCAACACAACGGTTCGGAGAGCACGCAGGGAATCCTTAGACCAGTAGCCAGGATGCGTGCCATGCCCCCAGACCGCCTGAGTGACGGTGGACTGAATTATGCCACAACGGCGCTGCCACGAAACAGGAAGCAAGCGAATGCGCGCGAGCGTGCCGCACCACTTAGAGCGACGGGACTCATCCAAGGCAGAAGGCTCCAAGGAAGCCTCGGCAGCAACAACACTGCCGCCAACCAAACGCAAGTCAAGTGAGTGAGACCCCAGACCGGGGAACATACCAGAGACAAACGAGTCCCCAAAGGTGTGGGATTTGCGAGGACAGAAAGCCCCACCAATGGCATCAACAAAGGCAAGGGACTGAGTGTGCACTTGCTTCAAAGTACGAAGGACCGTGGCCTCGGCAGGAGCAGAGGCGACCACCGACAAGTCATCAGCAAAAGAACGCGGAACGGCAGCCGGAACCGTGTGGCCAACATGCTCCAGCCAAACGCCCAAGATTGCATTGAGACAGAAAGGGCTGATAGGACAGCCCTGAGGGATGCCAGTCGAGCTGCAAAACTCACGACCAAGCACCCCGTTCAACCGGAATCGACGGCGAAGGTGACGGTAAAAGCCAGCCAGCGGGCGCAAGATGCACTCAGCACAACCGCGCCGCCGAAGGATCTGAATCAACAGGCAAGGAGGAAGGGCATCGAATGCCTTCTTAAGGTCGAAAGAAATGCCAGCGCAGGGATGCCCCTCGGCTTCAGCAGCCTCGAGGTCAAGAGCCGTAGCAAAGAACAAGCCCTCGGCGGAATGCCCAGGACGAAAACCGAAAGCACCATCCGCCAACCAGCGATCTTGCCAAGGAACGATATCGGACAACCGCGCCTTGGCCCACAGGCGATAAAGGCAACTGAGAATGCTCAAGGGACGCAAGTCAGACGGACCAGGCTCAGAGATGGACGAATCTTTAGGTATCAGTGCAACGGCAGCGCACGTCATGGAGGAAGGCCAGCAGCCGGTATCTTCAACCAGTTGCAACAGCAAGGCAAGCTCGTCAAAGAGAGCAGGGCAACAAGTCGCAACAGCCTGAAGGGCCGCAAAGGACCAACCATCAAGGCCAGGAGCGGTCAATGCACAGGAACTAACAGCCTCACGGAGGCGAGAGCCAGTTAGG